AATTATTGTCTATTTTAATCCTATGTAAACTCGGTGTTACATCAAGATGAGTCATTTTTCATGGAACTAAAACGTGAAACCGACCACTTGTCGAGACATAGATTAAGGCCCCCCATACACACAGTTTGGCCTTCCGATCGACCTTACAGGCAAAACTGTGACAGTTTACCCNCATCTTCTAACTGCGGTGACCTGGGTTCGATCCCATGTCAAGTCACATCAGATTTGTCATGGACATTGTAGTATTGGGGCGAGTTTTCTCCAAGTTTTCGGTTTCCCTTGCATATTTTCATTCCACCAAAATGTTTCATGTTTATTAATTATTCAGTCATTCAATAGTTATGGCCAAAAAACGGAGCGTGAAATAAAATAAAATTTCTTGTGACTTCCGTGTTGTTGCTTTGTATTGCATAAACAAATATCGTACATACGTTAATTCAATTTCGAACCTGATTTTCATAACAATGTCTTGAAAATATGTCAGTTGTAACAATTAACTTATTAGGAAGAGACGGAAACTGGATGACATATTACTGACTCATAAGTCATTTTTTTTAATTAAAGAGAATCACCTAAATTTTGAAAACATTAAGAAAATTCGGAAATTTCGATTGGTTGGAAACTAGGTTGCTATGATAGCTAAGCCTTAAATGCCAAAGGCCAAGCAGAGCTTATTAAAAAAATATATTCTATGGGCTGGGTGACCGGGTTTCGATTCCCAACAAAGCATGAAATTTTTCTCCTCTCTATAGCTTCCAGACTGGCTCTTATACCCATTCACCTGCCTATCCAATGGCATCCCTGGATGCAAAGAGGCCAAGGGGTGAAACTGACCACTCCTCTCCATCTAGTGCCGAGGTCAAGAATGGCAGAATGTTGAAAATACATACTAAGGTCATTTTAACGAAATATATATATGTAAATGTACGACGAATCCGCTACTTGACTTACTATAATTCTTCGCCGATTATGACAGTGAATTATGCAGTTATGCTTTGAAACTGAGTTTTCATATAATTAAAAACAGCCATCTCTATAAACTTTGTTGATAAATTAATGCGCGTATGCTGGATTTATGTCATGCCTAGACAGGAAACGAAATATAAATATGAAAAGTGCATTTTATATATAAATTATTTACACACCAAACAATATCCTTGGAATTTGCCCTTTCTTACTCCGTCTGTCCCTACGCCTCTCACAGCTATCCTCAGCAGTAAAGGAATTTCTGATCTCTCTAAATATTTCTGTCAAGCCACTGTTTAAGAAGCTAAATTGTCAGCTGCATATAACAAACTGCTCAAGGGAATTCAGTGGTATTCCCACTAGCACACGGTAAATATTTTATAGTTATTCCTAAGGTACTATATATCACATCTACTTCATCCGCCCTGATTTGTCGAATCTAATAACATTTAGCGAATAATGCTTTCTTCATAGTCACCGCCGCGAAAACCTCAAATCTTACTCAGTGCTTTTTTGGTTTACTTTAGACTGTGAAAATACAATGTACACAAAATACCGCTGAAAAACATTTTTACAGACGAGTAATGAATTAAAAAGGATTTGGAAGTAATCAAAATGATTTGAATGAGATATTATTCTGTCTTGTACATGGTGTCATTGAGAAAGTTCAGGAAAAACGTCAAGACTAGCCATTTTTCTAACATAGATTCGAACCAAGCACATGCCGCTTACAAATCTACATCGTTATCGCTATACCGGCATGTTAAGTGTAAAGAGTACAAATTATGAAACTCCTCATTATGCTATTTTATGTCCATCTGTCGCTTTCCTCTTACCGAGGTACAAATGTACTTCACTGTGCCCTGTTATTCATAACAAAACTGAGTGTGACTGAAGTGTGTTTCCACAGTGTTCCTTGCATTAACGGTGGTACATTTATCTTACGGTAAATATGTTGTAAATTAGTTCAGTTCTACGCCCCTTCGTCAATATTAATGGAGAGACCACGAAACTGAACATTTCTGCTATTGTATTATGCTTCCTTCGCTGAAATTTTGTCCTGGCGCACTGAGAATGTGTGCCCCCCTTCCCCTCCCCCCATTCAGAACGTAAGGTGCGACTGCTGATAATGCCTCAAAATGTGCCAGCGAAAGTGCCATGAAATGGGAATGCTGTAATTGTCTGTGGGATTAAGCAATGAAATTTGCGATAGTCGTTGCTACTTTACCGTGGTAACGATGCCGTTATAGATTCTAACGGCTAAGGACCTCTGTAGTTATAGCTGCTTCCTCGATACTTGAGTGTTACGTGTGTAGGAGTTGGGATAGAATGAATTCTATAGCTAACTAAATGATGTCTGAGNCCAGTCTCTATATCCTACCGGTACTGGTGCTTACCATCAGTCCCGCCCAGCCAGCGAGACCGGCTCTACTAGCTGAGAGGTATCTATAATGCTTCCCCCATCTACCAGAGGTATTAGAGACTGCTGTTGGGCGGGAAACGTCCTTAATTTGGCTCAGTGACCTCCTTTGGAGATATGAGGTTCTTTTACGTGCCGTAAAGCTACGACACGGGACCCACGGCTTAAAGTCCCTCCCGGAGGACTTGTTCCCTGAAATTTTCCGCCCTTAAAAATTCGACGACCTCCGCCGGGTATTTGAGCCCGCGTACTCCGAGTCATGAGGGGGGAACATTACCTCTAGACTACGGAGGCCGCTGTGCTTTAGGTAACTATTTGTCTCTCCATTCCTATGCTGTAGTGAAGCTGACAGTCGGTATGATTTCCGGAACTCTGGGACTGTTTATCCAGACAGATTTCTTGCCTTCTACTTAAAACTTCCTTATTTGTTTGTTAGGACTGTCTTTTATATATCCGCTTAAATAAAATACTCTAATATCTATTAGCGGATCACAATGGCCGCGCGGTCTAGGGCTTAGCTCGCCGAGCACTGGGATCGTGGGTTCGAATCCCACTCAAGGCATGGATATTTGTCTTCATTCATTCTGTGTTTGTGTTGTCCTGTGTAGGTAGTGGCTTTGCGACGGGCTGATCCCCATCCAAGGTGTCCTATTGACTGTATAATATTAAGAATCTGAAATGAAAGGAACCGTTTCACGATTGCCCTATGCTCCAAGTGGGAACAACAGGAACATAGATATGAAGAGAATGTCTACTATCCAATGCACAATAATTTAAAAAACGTGCTGAGTACGTCTTGTGAGAGGCATTGTTCACTTCTAGGGACACAGTTCTTATGGTGTTAAGTTATGAGGAATGTTTCAATTAACAGAGACGTTGAGAGATGTGCCTTGAAAAAGTAAATATATTTTTCAAAACGCATTTTTTTGTTAATTAATGTCTTTCCTTGACATGAGTTTATCTTACATATAAGTTGATTGCTTTTTGTCTTCTTCATATTGTACCGATATGTTGTGCCAGAGGAAATAAGTTGGGATAAGCGGTAAAGCTTTCGAATTGCATCTTGAATTTGGTTCTTTCGAATATCTGCCAGATCACTAACTAGACTTGCTGAGGTTTATCTTGTTTTCTCTCCAGTCTCTCGAGACAAATTCTGCACTGCTGCTTTAAATTAGGTGACAACTCTTTCCTTTTTCTTCCGTTGCAGTTCTTTACTCATCTAACCATTCGATATCACAGGCTCATTTATTGACTGCGTCTTTAAATGCACTTCAAAATGAATAAAAAAACAAATGTTTACCCGAGTACAGCAATAAGCAAAGTCTCATTGACGAAGGTAATTGGAAATAGAGGAATATATTATTGTGTTTCAAATTTCATTAAATATTTGAGACCTAACGCATTCGGAACAAGTATACTTTACATATCTCTCTATAGACTTAATGTCTATTTATTGCACATAGAGTAGCGTTTTCGACAGACATATTACGAATACTGCTTTGTATTTTTGTCCTTTGTCTTGTCCGGCAAGTGCCATATAAAATAATATTTTGCTGAAGTTACATATCTTTAAGAAGCCTACATTTTTTCATCCGCCAATGTTTCTACGATAAATAATAATAATAATAATAATAATGTATTCTGTTGTCCCATGAGGAGTATGAGTCGTCTACAAGCTCTTTCTTTTTGTCCCTATCTGCCGCTAAACACCTCAGCTCACTCAAACTCCTTGCAGCTCCTCTCAGAGTGGATCTGCATCTGTTTCTTGGTCTTCCCATGCTCTGTTTCCGTAAGGATTCCACTGAAGCACCATCCTTCCTCAGTCTATGACCAATCCACCTAAATTTGCGTTTCCTTATTTCCATAGTTATATCTGCTTGGCTAGATAACTGCCAGAGCTCTCTACCTGAAATGGTTCTAGGCAACCGAATTCATGATATATATCTCAGATATCTATCAGTAAATGTTCCTATGTTGAACAGTGTTTAGTATAATTATTGTCTATTTTAATCCTATGTAAACTCGGTGTTACATCAAGATGAGTCATTTTTCATGGAACTAAAACGTGAAACCGACCACTTGTCGAGACATAGATTAAGGCCCCCCATACACACAGTTTGGCCTTCCGATCGACCTTACAGGCAAAACTGTGACAGTTTACCCCCTCCCTTTCCTCCCCATACACGCGCAGATAAAGCGGCAGGCTTCATGCCACAATCACGGTCTTTCAGCCTATAATGTTGAGTCACACACGTCACGTGCTACGGTCCTGCAGGCAGAACTGACGGACTGACGGGTTTCCCACAGGCCAACAGTCCAAACGATTGGCCGGCCGGCCGCACCACTCACGTCAATTATGCCTTTCAGTCTTCAACTGTGCAGGCCGAACTGGAGGCCAAACTGTGTGTGTATGGGGGCCCTAAGTTACGGCTTATCTCCAAGCCATTGCACGCCTTTATATAGTAGCTTGCTTGTGATGGTTGTGCTTAGCCAGAAGGGGAAACTGTACCTTCACTTTCGTGCAGTACATATGTGAATCACAGGTTGTTCCTACTATCACTTCTGTGAAGATGTTTATAAGAGACTACAAACATGGCGATTTCTTGGTGTGCAGGTGTTGCTGTTTCCGGAAGAAGGATGGGCGCGAAGTGCGTCCTCCTCGTACTGGACACTCACACCGGCCTGGTGGAGCCGTAGTAGTTGCAAAGTTGTAGAAGTCGCTGGCACCAGAAGGTGAGTCTCCTTCACGCGGAGGATTTATTTCTATACAGCATTTACATGTCACAGACCAAACATTTGCACCACGACCATGTTTCACAATTTATGCCGTGTCATAGCTCACATAATTAGCAGCCATCTTCTAACTGCGGTGACCTGGGTTCGATCCCATGTCAAGTCACATCAGATTTGTCATGGACATTGTAGTATTGGGGCGAGTTTTCTCCAAGTTTTCGGTTTCCCTTGCATATTTTCATTCCACCAAAATGTTTCATGTTTATTAATTATTCAGTCATTAAATAGTTATGGCCAAAAAAACGGAGCGTGAAATAAAATTAAATTTCTGGTGACTTCCGTGTTGTTGCTTTGTATTGCATAAACAAATATCGTACATACGTTATTTCAATTTCGAACCTGATTTTCATAACAATGTCTTGAAAATATGTCAGTTGTAACAATTAACTTATTAGGAAGAGACGGAAACTGGATGACATATTACTGACTCATAAGTCATTTTTTTTAATTAAAGAGAATCACCTAAATTTTGAAAACATTAAGAAAATTCGGAAATTTCGATTGGTTGGAAACTAGGTTGCTATGATAGCTAAGCCTTAAATGCCAAAGGCCAAGCAGAGCTTATTAAAAAAATATATTCTATGGGCTGGGTGACCGGGTTTCGATTCCCAACAAAGCATGAAATTTTTCTCCTCTCTATAGCTTCCAGACTGGCTCTTATACCCATTCACCTGCCTATCCAATGGCATCCCTGGATGCAAAGAGGCCAAGGGGTGAAACTGACCACTCCTCTCCATCTAGTGCCGAGGTCAAGAATGGCAGAATGTTGAAAATACATACTAAGGTCATTTTAACGAAATATATATATGTAAATGTACGACGAATCCGCTACTTGACTTACTATAATTCTTCGCCGATTATGACAGTGAATTATGCAGTTATGCTTTGAAACTGAGTTTTCATATAATTAAAAACAGCCATCTCTATAAACTTTGTTGATAAATTAATGCGCGTATGCTGGATTTATGTCATGCCTAGACAGGAAACGAAATATAAATATGAAAAGTGCATTTTATATATAAATTATTTACACACCAAACAATATCCTTGGAATTTGCCCTTTCTTACTCCGTCTGTCCCTACGCCTCTCACAGCTATCCTCAGCAGTAAAGGAATTTCTGATCTCTCTAAATATTTCTGTCAAGCCACTGTTTAAGAAGCTAAATTGTCAGCTGCATATAACAAACTGCTCAAGGGAATTCAGTGGTATTCCCACTAGCACACGGTAAATATTTTATAGTTATTCCTAAGGTACTATATATCACATCTACTTCATCCGCCCTGATTTGTCGAATCTAATAACATTTAGCGAATAATGCTTTCTTCATAGTCACCGCCGTGAAAACCTCAAATCTTACTCAGTGCTTTTTTGGTTTACTTTAGACTGTGAAAATACAATGTACACAAAATACCGCTGAAAAACATTTTTACAGACGAGTAATGAATTAAAAAGGATTTGGAAGTAATCAAAATGATTTGAATGAGATATTATTCTGTCTTGTACATGGTGTCATTGAGAAAGTTCAGGAAAAACGTCAAGACTAGCCATTTTTCTAACATAGATTCGAACCAAGCACATGCCGCTTACAAATCTACATCGTTATCGCTATACCGGCATGTTAAGTGTAAAGAGTACAAATTATGAAACTCCTCATTATGCTATTTTATGTCCATCTGTCGCTTTCCTCTTACCGAGGTACAAATGTTCTTCACTGTGCCCTGTTATTCATAACAAAACTGAGTGTGACTGCAGTGTGTTTCCACAGTGTTCTTGCATTAACCGTGGTACATTTATCTTACGGTAAATATGTTGTAAATTAGTTCAGTTCTACGCCCCTTCGTCAATATTAATGGAGAGACCACGAAACTGAACATTTCTGCTATTGTATTATGGTTCCTTTGCTGAAATTTTGTCCTGGCGCACTGAGAATGTGTGCCCCCTCCCCCCCATTCAGAACGTAAGGTGCGACTGCTGATAATGCCACTAAATGTTTCAGCGAAAGTGCCATGAAATGGGAATGCTGTAATTGTCTGTGGGATTAAGCAATGAAATTTGCGATAGTCGTTGCTACTTTACCGTGGTAACGATGCCGTTATAGATTCTAACGGCTAAGGACCTCTGTAGTTATAGCTGCTTCCTCGATACTTGAGTGTTACGTGTGTAGGAGTTGGGATAGAATGAATTCTGTAGCTAACTAAATGATGTCTGAGTTACATTTCTGGGTAAATATACAGAGTAAGAAAGTAAACTTTCTCTGTTCACAACTCACGCCACGAAGGCGTATGGGAGAGTGAAGGTATAGCTACAATATTCTTGACTTCGGCACTAGATGGAGGTGAATGGTCACATCTACGCCCCTGTCGCTTAACCTCCAGTATCCATTGAGAAGTAGGCTGGGTGGACCAAAAAATCAGTCTTGACGCTAAGAGAAAAATCTTGCCCCTGCCGGTAGTCAAATTCCGGTCGTCCAGCCCGACTGAGCTATTCAGGCTCTCATCCACTTGTTTGTTATTGCTTCCAGAACTTTATAAAAGTGAAAGCTATATATACTGGAAGTGATACTAAACGGAGAGTCAGTGATGAACCCCAGCGTAAGGATACATGACCCAAACGTACTCCTCGACTTCCGTTTACTGCAAACATATATATATATATATATTT